TAAAATTCCTATGTTGAACTCCTAACCTCCAGTATCTCAGAATGGGGCTGTATTTGGAGATACTATTTTTAAAGGGAATAATTAAGTTAAAATGAGGTAATTAAGGGTGTACCCTAATGCAACATGACTGGTGTCCTTAAAGGAAAAGGAGTTTAGGACACTGACGTGCCAAGAGGGAAGACGAAGTGAAGTCACAGGGAGAAGATGGACATCTACAAACCACAGGAAGGCTTCAGAAGAGATCAACCCTGCCAATACCTTGGTCTTGGATTTCTAGCCTCCATAATTTGAGTAAATAAATTTCTATCATTCAGGCTTAGTCTGTGGTACTTCGTTATGGCAGCCTCTAGCTAACTAATAGACCGATGTATTAGCTTTCCATCATTATAAAACAAAGTACTACAAACTTAGAAGCTTAAAACAATATATATTTTTAATCTTGCATTTTCTGTGCATCAGGAACATGGGCATATTTTAAGTGAGCCCTTTGTTTTAGGGTTTCTCACAAGATGCCATGAAGGTATCAGCCAGGGTTGGGGTACCATCAAGAATCTTGACTGGGCAGGATCTGCTTCTGAGTCCATAGTTGGGGGGAGTATTTAGTTCCTCAAGAGCTGCTGAGCTGAGCTTTTCAGCTTCTTAGCTGGCCACTGACTGGAAGCTGCCCTCACTTCCTTGCCACATGCCAACATGTCAACTTGCTTCATCAAAGCCACCAAAGGAAAGAAACTGCTAGCAAAAGGAAGTCCCTATCTCATCTAGCCTAATCATGAAGTGACAACCACCACACTTGCCATGTGTGCTTGGTTAGAAGCAAGTCACTAATAGAAAGTCCAGAGATAAATCCACGCACCTTATCTTTGACAAAGGAGACAAGAATATACAATGGAGAAAAGACAATCTCTTTAACAAGTGGTGCTGGGAAAACTGGTCAACCACCTGTAAAAGAACGAAACTAGAACACTTTCTAACACCATACACAAAAATAAACTCAAAATGTAATAAAGGTCTAAACATAAAACAAGAAACTATAAAACTCCTAGAGGAAAACATAGGCAAAACACTCTGACTAAATCACAGCAGGATCCTCTATGACCCACCTCCCAGAGTAATGTAAATAAAAGCAAAAATAAACAAATGGGACCTAATTAAACTTAAAAGCTTTTGCACAACGAAGGAAACTATAAGTAAGGTGAAAAGACAGCCTTCAGAATGGGAGAAAATAATAGCAAATGAAGCAACTGACAAAGAATTACTCTCAAAAATATACAAGCAGCTCCTGCAGTTCAATTTCAGAAAAATAAATGACACAATCAAAAAATGAGTCAAGGAACCAAACAGACATTTCTCCAAAGACATACAGATGGCTAACAAACACATGAAAAGATGCTCAACATCACTCATCATCAGAGAAATGAAAATCAAAACCACAATGAGGTACCATTTCATGCCAGTCAAAATGGCTGCTATCAAAGTCTACAAACAATAAATGCTGGAGAGGGTGTGGAGAAAAGGGAACCCTCTTACACTGTTGGTGGGAATGCAAACTAGTACAGCCACTATGGAGAACAGTGTGGAGATTCCTTAAAAAACTGGAAATAGAACTGCCATACGACCCAGCAATCCCACTGCTGGGCATACACACTGAGGAAACCAGAATTGAAAGAGACACATATACCCCAATATTCATCACAGCACTGTTTATAATAGCCAGGACATGGAAGCAACCTAGATGCCCATCAGCAGACAAATGGATGAGGAAGCTGTGGTACATGTACACCATGGAATATTATTCTGCCATTAAAAAGAATGCATTTGAATCAGTTCTAATGAGGTGGATGAAACTGGAGCCCATTATACAGAGTGAAGTAAGTCAGAATGATAAAACACCAATACAGTATACTAATGCATATATATGGAATTTAGAAAGATGGTAACAATGACCCTATATGCAAGACAGCAAAAGAGACGCAGATGTACAGAACAGTCTTTTGGATTCTGTGGGAGAAGGCAAGGGTGGGATGATTTGAGACGGTAGCGTTGAAACATGTATATTATCAATTGTGAAACAGATCGCCAGTCCAGGTTTGATGCATGAGACAGGGTGCTAGGGGCTGGTGCGTTGCGATGACCCTAGGGGATGGGATGGGGCAGGAGATGGGAGGGGGGTTCTAGATGGGGAACACATGTGCACCCGTGGCTGATTCATGTCGATGTTTGGCAAAAACCACTGCAATACTGTAAAGTAATTAGCTTCCAATTAAAATAAATTAATTAATTAAAAAAAAAGAAGCAAGTCACTAAGCTGGCCTACTTTTTAAGGGGAAGTAGTTACACAAGACCAGAAACAGCAGGAAGTAAGGATTGTCAAGGCCACCTTAAAGGGTGCGTGCCACCTCTGACTACAGAACTGAGGTTTCATGAATTTCTTTCTGATACCCAGGTTCACTTACTTTTTCTTCCATGCAATCACATAACTTAGTGATCTCCTATGAGTCACAAGGCATTCTGCACTCTTTCGTTGGGGGATGTTGTGACATCTCAAACATGATGACAGAACTAAAGTTTTCATTAAAAGGAAATGTGTATTGCCTGGGGTGCTCCACACTCAACATCAAATTCATGACTTTCGAGGGAGTAGGTAGGTGAGGAGGAGTTATTAAGCACCTATTATTACCAAAAGCACACTTCTGTATTCATCCTGCTAAAGAGAAGAATTAGTTTTACATGTAAAATTTCCTTTATTTTTCATTCAGGGGGCAACAATAATTATACACCCTACCTCATCGTTCCCAGCAATTACAACTATGAGGGTAAGAGGCAAAAACAGATTTTAAAAGGCAAGAAAGATATCCATAATACTACATATCACCATTTGAAGATTTTCTTTTATTACCCACACACCCTGCAGCTAGTGCAGAACCAGCTTCATTTATCATTTAATATTTATTAAAGTAATCAACCTATAATAGTTTGGCCTTATTTTTCTTTTGAAGGTCAAGTCCACAATACGAACCAACATATAACCCTTCAGGCTGCAGTCTTGTCAGGTGCGACAAGGTACATGCTGTCAGCAATATATGGCTGAAGACCTATCACATGAAAATGCTGTAAGGAAAAGATATTATTGTCCAGTTTAGACACAAAATAAGTGGGGACTAGTATTACCCAGTACAGATAACTCTGGATATTACAAAAGTTTCTGAGAATTTTGAGAAAATGTAGCTATTTCTTCCCGATTTTAAGGTACTTTTTAATACTTTAACTTCAGATGTTTTATTTCAAGTGAGGTCAAAAATTTGAATTTGGACCTAATGAAATAAACCCTTCACTGCTGTTTCAAATCAAATTTTAATCTTTATGCAAAATAACTGATCACAAGTGAACTTAAAGTGCTAGCCTTGAATCACCTTCACAAAGCAACAGGAGTATTATTAAAGCTACATAAAGCAACAACTTATCTAGCAGCATCAGGGAATGAGTTTTTATCAGGAAGTAAATTTCAAAAATAATGGGGAGGGGGGGTTAGTTGTTTTCTTACTCTGAGGACATACAATGTAATGTTTTTGACACCACAGGGTCACCATTTCAGCCTTAGGTATTATTCTGCTGTATTTAAGCGAGTCCTCAGGAGCCTGCTGAGGTGTGAGAACCCACAGGCAGCTGCCCTGTATCCCTGTCTGCCCCGTCCCCGTGTGGAACCCCGTGTGGAATCAGGTTGCAGCATGGGCAAGGCGAAGGATGGTTTGGGCGGTGGGTTCAGCTCGGTCTTTTATCATCAGTCACTCACCACCACACACAGGCACACACATACACGAGTGCAAACCTACAGCCTAAGGAAGACAAGGATCTGCTACGCCCAAGAGGGTTTAGCTCTTCCAGTTCCTTCTCCCTTCAAAGAGATCGTCACCGTTAAAATCAGCTTATATAGAAATTAAGCAGGGGTCACCCTGAAGCCCCGGAAAATGGGGAGTTTGAAATCCAGCTCCATCACTCCTTTCTGTTCTGCTGGCCTTCAGGACTCCCACCTTAAGCTGCGGCCGTCATGACTCCTGTCTCCTGGGTTCTTCCTTGGCCCTGAGCTCCAGTGGGAGACCAGTGCCTCGGATGTATCCATTTTAATCCTGCTTCTCTGGCTTCTGCACTACAACCAGCCCAACTTGACTCTCAACTTTTTTTACATTTGTTCAGTTTCTAAGAAACAACAGCCTCAAATAAGAAACTCTCCTATTCTCCTTCTAAAACCAAACCTGACTGGTTATCCATTCTCAGAAGAAGGTAGGTTAAACATGTTATGTAAACTACTGCACAATGTGTACTTCTGCATCTGTTTATTATAGTTTTGCTATTTCTTCACACTTTTATTTATTTTTTTTTGCTGCCACCTCTTATTGCTTTGAGTTTCTCCAACAAGGATATAAAAATATAAAGTAATCACAAATAACCTGGCAGTAAGAACATGAAGAGATCTTCTCTGAATAAAAGATAAGACTCTAATACACAGATTCTGGAACATTATTATGTGGTTACTTAGATAGAAGTCTTATTCCTGGAGGTTTTGGAATTACATTCTGAATACATTTTTCTTGTTAGAGAAATTACTTCTCGTTAAATGAGGCCTTCCTCTGGTAGAAATATAAATTCTGTCCATTTAAGTAGGTCATATTCAAAACTGCACTGTAAGTTAAAAGGAACTATTTAAAGGTTCACATTATTACAAAACCTGAGCATGATGTATATGGATTTGAAGCTGTCATATTCATTTAACAAAAGGATTTTTAAACTCATAATTAAACAGTATACTTCCACATCACTCTTTTATTTTGGGCTATGTTTAATCCACACCATAAAACTGATTTTTTAAACTATGCACTTGACCTAGATCCTTCCTGACATCAGGTACTGGTCACTCTCCATCAGTTCTGCTGCCCACTAACACCCTGGAAGGAGAGGAAGATCTCAGGCTTTAGAGCAGAGCAGACAAGAGGTGCTCTCTGGTGCTTCCACTCACTATCAACTGGATGTCAAAGTTCCCAGACCTCTCAAAAACTGTCTATCAAACGGGCACAAAATATCTGGCATCAGGTATAGTATCTGGAAGAAAAAGTAGGACATCAATAAATTATAGCATTATTATTTTTAAAGAAATCTGTCCAACTTTAAAAGAACTAGATTTCTAAAAGACTTTCTAAAAAGTATACTAATTCCATCAAATATTAGTCATTATACACGCATTTTAATATATTATAAAAATTGATTTTCCATAAAATCATATGATTATGCTATTCAGGCCATTGATAACTGAAATAGTGAGAGAACCACTCATATTAATGGTCAGACAGAGAGAAAATCAATACAGTAAAATATGGATAAAAACTCATAGTTATTCAATCTCATGGTGTACTCTAACTAGCTCAAAATAAAGAATATAGTTGGTGGCATCACTGATTGTACAGACATGAGCTTGAGCAAACTGTGGGAGATAGTGAAGGACAGGGAAGCCTGGCGTGTGCAGTTCATGGGGTTGTAAAGAGTCGGACATGACTGAGCAACTGAACAACAAAAAGAATAAAAGAAAATTTTTTTATTTGCTTGAGTGTAAAACTTTTAAACAAGTTAATCAGTTACATATAAACTAATGATGTTCTTTCATCCATGGCACAAATCCAAAATAAATGCTGTTCTGATGAATAATTTATCATATATTATTATTTCAGAGGGAGTTAGTAGATGATATATTTGGCCTATTTGCTATATCGGTAAAGGAATAAATAGTGAAATCTGATGCAACCATTCTAAAGCTGTCCTGCAGGAGAAACAACTTCCCTCTTCCACCACAATAATGGCATTCATTCAGAGACATGACATTCCATCTGCTATGAAAATAATGCTTTAAACAAAATTATGCAAATGTAAGACAAAAAAATCCCTATCTTATAAGGCTTCTGTTCAGCAGCAATTTAGATGAGAATACAATGTTACAGACCTTTAAAAATTGCAACTAGTAAACATTAACTTACATAAAATATTTTCATATAAATGTTTAATATCTGCTTATACAGAATATCTACATAGCTACCAAAAATATAGTGAGGAGATGGGAACACTCCATTGAGACCTAACAGAAGTCTTAGGGGAGTCTGTTAGTAATCCTCTCACTAGGTGGGTAAGGCACCAGCTGAGGAATTTGAACCGAGCGGGTGTCCCTTCAGATGGGAAGGGGGCGTGGCACCGTGCAGAACCCAGACAAAGGGCCCTGAACAGGAGACTGCTGCTGGAGTGTGCATTTCCTCCAGGCGATAAAGGCTGGGGACGGGAAGCCCTGATGGCGCCCTTGGAGCGCTCAGTGACCTCAGCTGGCTCTCCCCCGAGGTCCACAACCTCTGATGGCGCTGCCGTCTCCCTCGCAAGGGGGTGCCCCTGCCTGCCTGTGTGTCCACCATTCTGCTAACATGGCAATATCACTCGCTGCGTGTTCCAGGGCATAGTCTAGTACTGCCAGGGTCGCCAGGAGTCCACCAGGAGAAGCAAAGCAGAAGCCTAAGAAAAGAAGGGTGCTATCCAGAACAGGCAGAGAGCCAGGAAAAGTCCCCGCAGAAGGCAACGATCAGGACTTGTCCAGGCGAGGAGAGCAAAGTGTGCCAAGGTAACACCTAAGTCACAAGGCGTCAGAGCTCACACACAACGTAAGGCTGCCTGCCAACGGTACCATTTTAAACTACTGTGTCTTAGGTGACTGTTAATATGAAAGACAAACCCCTGTAGAAACAAGTTATGAGGGTACTATCCAGTACATATCAAGAGATAAAGATATTTTCATGTATCTCTATCTTAATTGTACACCAACAATTTAATCCATACAAGTTTTTTTTTAAAAAATATTCTAATTATACTCCTGGAAAGCAGCAATGAGACATCATTCTGCCTTCAGTTTTCACAAGTTGGTCTAGACCACAGCATTCACCTCAAGTGTAATCTTACTTGTTTTGGAAGGAATTGCTGCACAGTTCCAATTTCCTGTTTAGGAAATAGAGTTAAATCACTTGAGATGTGTTGCATTAAACCTTTCAAACTTACTACCTAGAGACTAAATGGACCCAGAAGGGAAACAAAACATATGCAATCCACACTGCACCACTTTCTTCCACTGGCCCAGATGACTTACAGGCAGATGCACAGTAAAACAAAGAGCATTTACATCATGGATGTGCTGATCGTTTTTAGCTTTTCTTATTGTGGTAAACATATTTTGCTGTCCTTAAATAAGTTTTTCCAACATCCGTTGGATCACTGAAAAGGCAAGAGAGTTCCAGAAAAACATCTATTTCTGCTTTATTCACTACACCAAAGCCTTTGACTGTGTAGATCACAACAAACTGTGGAAAATTCTTAAAGAGATGGGAATACCAGACCACCTGACCTGCCTCCTGAGAAATCTGTAGGGAAGTCAAGAAGCAACAGTTAGAACTGGACATGGAACAACAGACTGGTTCCAAATCAGGAAAGGAGTACATAAAGGCTGTATATTGTCACCCTGCCTATTTAACTTATATGCAGAGTTCAGTTCAGTTCAGTTGCAACCAGCTCTTTGCGACCCCATGGACTGCAACATGCCAGGCCTCCCTGCCCATCACCAGCTCCCGGAGTTTACTCAAACACATCCATTGAGTCAGTGATGCCAGCCAACCATCTCATCCTCTGTCGTCCCCTTCTCTTCCTGCCCTCTATCTTTCCCAGCATCAGGGTCTTTTCAAATGACTCAGTTCTTCACATCAGGTGCCCAAAGTATTGGAGTTTCAGGTTCACTATCAGGCCTTCCAATGAATATTCAGGACTGATTTCCTTTAGGATTGACTGGTTGGATCTCCTTGCAGTCTAAGGGACTCTCAAGAGTCTTTTCCAACACTGCAATTCAGAAGCATCAATTCCTTGGTGCTCAGCTTTCTTTCTAGTCCAACTCTCACATCCACACATGACTACTGGAAAAACCATAGCTTTGACTAGACAGATCTTTGTTGGCAAAATAATGTCTCTGCTTTTTAATATGTTGCCTAGGTTGGTCATTAACTTTTCTTCCAAGGAGCAAGTGTCTTTTAATTTCACGGCTGCAGTCACCACCTTCAGTGATTTTGGAGCCCAAGAAAATACATATATGGAGCCCAAGAAAAAATATATGCAGAGTACATCTTGAGAAATGCCAGACTGGATGAAGCACAATCTGGAATTGAGGTTGCTGGGAGAAATATCAATAACCTCAGATATGCAGATGACACCACCCTTATGGCAGAAAGCAAAGAAGAACTAAAGAGCCTCTTGATGAAAGTGAAAGAGGAGTGAAAAAGTTGGCTTAAAACTCAACATCCAGAAAACAAAGATCATGGCATCCAGTCCCATCACTTCATGGCAAATAGATGGGGAAACAGTGGAAACTGTAGTTGACTTTATTTTCAGGGGGGCTCCAAAATCACGGCAGATGGTGACTGCAGCCATGAAATTAAAAGACGCTTGCTCCTTGGAAGAAAAGTTATGACCAACCTAGACAACATTTTAAAAAGCAGAGACATTACTTTGCCAACAAAGGTCTGCCTAGTCAAAGCTATGGGTTTTCCGGTAGTCATGTATGGATGTGAGAGTTGGACTATAAAGAAAGCTGAGTGCCGAAGAATTGATGCTTCTGAACTGCAGTGTTGGAAAAGACTCTTGAGAGTCCCTTAGACTGCAAGGAGATCCAACCAGTCAATCCTAAAGGAAATCAGTCCTGATATTCATTGGAAGGACTGATACTGAAGCTGAAACTCCAATACTCTGGCCACCTGATGCGAAGAGCTGACTCATTGGGAAAGACTCTGGTGCTGGGAAAGATTGAAGGCGGGAGAAGGGGACGACAGAGGATGAGATGGTTGGACGGCATCACCGACTCAACGGACATGAGTTTGAGTAAACTCCGGGAACTGGTGATGGACAGGGAGGCCTGGTGTGCTGCAGTCCATGGGGCTGCAAAGAGTCAGACATGACTGAGCGACTGAACTGAGGTTAAATATGTTTTTCTAATAATTAAATACACAATTTATTCAAAACATGAAAAGTATAAAATATTTACACATTTTTCCTTTATCTAGTTTAATACTAACATTAAAAACAGATGAAAGAATGAGTTTGGATAGTAATTTAGAGGAATATAAAATTCTCATGGTTCCTTTAAGCATCTGGAATATTCAGTTACTCACGTTTTTCCCTCAGAAGTAACTGAAGCTAACACAACTTAAACCTCAGGGCCTTGCAGATGCACGGGCCACTGAAAGCATCTTAACAACACAATCATATGTCTTCATAAAACTTGCCAAACAAGATGTTTTAACATCATCAGTTAGGATCATTATTTCTTTCCACACCTTCTTCTGCTCCATCACACTTCTCCTTGCGTTAAGTGATACTGAAGTGGACACAAACTGTTTTGAGATTTAGCTAAGGGGAAGCTGAGTTGAAGATATAGCTTTATTTGGATTTAATGATACATTTACATGGTTCCAAGTCACTTTCGGGTATGGTTATGTTCTTGCTAGTCACCCCAATGCAGGGCTCCTTCCAGGAATACGTGTGCATCCCAGTCGGCCCTGAGATGACAGGACGCCCCTGAGGAGGCATCAGGATATAACCTTGTGCTGCCATTCACCCCGCAAGTAAGGACACAGGGAGGGGAGAGCAAGGTTTACTTTTGCTATTTTTCTGGATTTTGTTGTGCTCTGCAGTACCTGTCAGCTTTAAAATTTATAATTTCTTGTGACTACTTTTATTCTAAATACAGATTTACTTTTGAGTTTAATTTTGTGTTTGCAATTTTGTTTTCTTTTCCTTAGAATTTCCAAACTGCATAAGCTTCAGACCCCACTAACGCTGAATCCTCACTCCTTATACTTATGAAAAAAAGGAAGATAAATTATTCTTTAAATTCTAAACATAAAACAACCACAAATAAAATACTTCACAAAATGTATATTAACTTTATCCTTTATGTAACTATAAACTCATTTATATTATTAAAACTGGTCATTAAAAAGTCATATACATATCAATCATGAGTGACAAACCACAGT